TTTCGCATTCCAATGCCCGGTCAGTGCAAGTGCCGGCGCATCTTTCTTCCAGCCAGAGACAGGTGGAACATCCATCCTACACATTACGGATGGGACTGGAAATGGGGATTGCTGCAAGGTGCAAGCCTCAGCTTTGAAAGCTCCACATGAGAGGTTTTCTCCCATCTCCTGTTTTGCCTTCATGACCATACTGAAGTCGGTCACTTGCACGCTATGGTGGTCTCCAAGTCTTCCCAAAGCAACCTGGGTCTTGATATCGGGATTCCCAAGCGTGGCCACAGCCACACCCTGCTTCCCCTGATATCCTGTCGAGCCCTGAAAGTCTGAATCCCTGAAACCCTAACTCCTACATGTTACAACCCTTGACCACAAAAAAGCCTAGATGCTCACTTGACTCAAGAACCTGTACAACATCCAGCCCGGAGAACTTGGGAATAACTGTACACTCTCCGTCCCTTCTATCCCCATGGCTCCATTTCCACGACCATCTTGACGTGCTTGTCAATGATGTGTTGTACTGGTCCCTTACACACCCCGAATCCCTGTACTCCGGGCCTTACTACCGCAAAGCCTCAAACCCGGAAGTCTTTCAACCCTGAAGCTTAAAACCCTAGACTTCAAACGCATATCCTGCCACCACATTGGACTGCAGTGGATGATGTCTCCCCTAGCTGTATGCTTGCACTAGAAAAGGTGCACAAGGGTGTTTTAAAAGACGCATATCCTCAAAACTCTCACGCCCTAGGCTCTACACCCTGAAGCTTAAGAAGCAAAGGGCCTACAGCATCCGAAACTTGAAATTCTATATTCCAAGGGGCATGGATCAAACTTCAAACTCTAAACTCGAGACTGGAAGCCCGAAGCCCACACCCTAAGCGCCAAAACCGATACAGGCCCAATCCCTAACTCGAAAACCCTGAAACCCTAAACCCTCAACCCAAGGCCCCCAAACCCCAAGACGCAAACCTTGCAAGCGTCGCCTGATTCCTTGCAACCTTAAAGCCTGAAACCGGAGAGGCTCTAAACACTGAAGCCCAGCATAAGCAAGACTGATCTCGCGCCCAAAACCCCGACACCTAAACTTCCGAAGCTCGCCTGACAGCCCTAAAACGCTAAAACACAGCCCCCCAGGCGGAAACCTTCAGCTGCAACATGACAGTCCCCAAAATCCAAGATTCCTGAAGTCCACCTTAAAGCCCTGAAGCCTTACAGGCCTAAGCAACCCCTGAAAAGTAGTTGTCAAAGCCCGCGAACCCAGAATTTCAAAACTGCAGAGCTCTCAAACCGGTAAGAGCAAAAGCCTCAAAGCTTTTGAACACATTATTACTCAGATCCTTGAAAGCGTCGCCTGATTCCTTGCAACCTTAAAGCCTGAAACCGGAGAGGCTCTAAACACTGAAGCCCAGCATAAGCAAGACTGAACTCGCGCCCAAAACCCCGACACCTAAATTTCCGAAGCTCGCCTGACAGCCCTAAAACGCTAAAACACAGCCCCCCAGGCGGAAACCTTCAGCTGCAACATGCCAGTCCCCAAAATCCAAGATTTCTGAAGTCCACCTTAAAGCCCTGAAGCCTTACAGGCCTAAGCAACCCCTGAAAAGTAGTTGTCAAAGTCCAAACCCTAAACTAACAAACCCTACACCCAAATCCGTAAAACTGAAATTTCAAAACTGCAGAGCTCTCAAACCCGCAAGCGCACAAGCCTCAAAGCTTTTGAACGCATTACTACTCAGATCTGAATTACACGCCAAAGGCCAGACCCAACAGGTTTACGCCCAAACCCTAAATTCTACATCCTAAGCCCCAAACCCAGATCTGGAAGCCCAGAAAAAATCCTAGAGCCCAAACCTTCAACCACAAACCCAAATCCCAACACAAACTTTAAATCTGTTGAAATTGAGCGTTAAAGCCCCAAAGCTCAGAAACCTTACAGCCCAAATATTAAAACAAGGACATCCGAGCAAGAAGCTGTCTGAGCCCCCAGGGCCCAATCCCGGAACAAAATCCTCAAGATCCCTATGGGCGCGACGTCTAAGGTGCACGCGCATTTTGCGTCCAAGATGCATGCTGGGTTTGCCTCTAAGGCCTGTGCAGGAATCGACGACCCTCTCGCTGTTTTCGGCGGGCGGCGAAGCTGGCATGTGGAGCGTCCTCATCATTCTGTCCGGAATCGACGACCTTCTCGTGATTTTGGGGCGGTGGCGGCGCTGGCGCGTGGAGCGTCCTCAGAATTCTCTTCGTAGTCTGCAATCGTCGCTGGCGCGTGGAGGGTCCTCAGAATTCTGTTCGGAATCGACAACCTTCTCATGATTTTGGGGGGGGGGTGGCGGCGCTGGCGCGTGGAGCGTCCCGAGAATTCTTGTTGTAATGAGCCACCATCTCGCCGTTTTCGGCGGGCGGCGGCGCTGGCGCGTGGAGCGTAACTCGCAAACTCCTACACCATTACACCCTAAATCCAAAACCCCTGAACCCAAAATCCAAAACCAATAGACCCTAAACCCTAAATCCAAAACCCCTAAACCCATAAACCCCTACACCCCTAAACCCTAAATCCAAAACCATTTAACCCTAAACCCGAAATCCAAAACCCCAAACCCTAAATCCAAAACCCCTAAACCCTAAATTCAAAACCCTTAAAACCTAAACCCTACATCCAACACCCCTAAGCCCTAAATCCAAAACCCTTAATCCTAAATCCAAGACCCCTGAAACCAAAATCCAAAACCCCTTAACCCTCAACCCTAAAATCAAAACCCCTAAACTCCTACACCCCTAAACTCTAAATCTAAAACCCTTAGCCCTAAACCCTAAATCCAAAACCTCAAACCCTAAATCCAAAACCCCTAAACCCTAAATCCAAAACCCTTAAAACCTAAACCCTACATCCAACACCCCTAAACCCTAAATCCAAAACCTTCAACCCTAAATCCAAAACCCCTGAACCCAAAATTCAAAACCCCTAGACCCTAAACCCTAAATCCAAAACCCCTAAACCCATAAACCTCTACACCCCTAAACCCTAAATCCAAAACCGTTTAACCCTAAACCCGAAATCCAAAACCCCAAACCCTAAATCCAAAACCCCTACACCCCTAAACCCTGAATCCAGAACCCCTTAACCCTAAACCCTAAATCCAAAAGCCCTAAACCCCCAACCCCAAACCTTAAATCCAAAACCACTACACCCTAAACCCTAAATTCAAAACCCTTGAACCCTACACCCTAAATCCAAGACCCCTGAAGC